GATGTCTTCGGAGCATTGCCCGAATCTGGTGAGAACACCGGATCAGCAATTCTGAAGTACGTCGAATGGTATTCAGGAGAAATAACTCACCCTCGATAGATGAATTGATCACACTGCAAAAGATGTTCTTCAGTTATGATTGATGAGGTACGCCATATTTGGCGACAAGGAGGTGGCTGTTGAGCTGTTCGGTGAGATCGGCAATTAGCTTACACGCGTTTCGTCACTAAATGAGATCAAGTCAATGCGGGGTTGGGTGGGGCCTGATACCCACCAAACCATAAACTGATGTTGTCCTCCCATATGGTGACAAAACATTCCCAAACTAGTTGTCAAGTTCGGCGACCAGATCAGCAGTCACTTAATTGGCGACCGATAGACGTACCCGGATTGCTCCTATTTCGATATTCTGCTCGTCCGTTCAGGGTGGCCTCAAGTACATTTCGCGCCACTCTGGCGCATTATTTGCGATCGATAGATTTAAAAAGAAAGAACCGTAGGCGGCATCAATATCACATAAATGACAGGAATATGTTGCTTTGATCGCGTTCCTTCCAATAGAATGTCAGTAAATGTGTGAGGGACAACGTTCGTGTATATATCAGAAGTCCTCTGCATACAAGATTACAGTTTTGATACCTCTGGATGGCAGACGCATCGGACAACTTAACGCGTTCTTTCGTTGTTGAGAGAGGTTACAATATTCCATTGGTGCTGCTACTCCTACTCCTCCTACTCCGACTCCAGTGCTCTTAGCTACATCCATCATACATATGTTTGCTTTTATCTCTTTTTGAGAACCGAGGAGCGCGGTGGCTGGTCTAGACCAACTATCCCACCACTCATTCGGAATCTTACTTAGCGTTTTGTTGGTTTGATTTTACCCTGGTGTAAATATTATCAAAATGGTACTCAATGTTCGAACGTGGTTATTGCTATCCCTAGTCGTCGAGCTGTAACACCCTTTCGGCGCCTAGCTGCCATACCACCCGAAGGAAGTACGAGGGCTGGGATAGTGCTAGGTTGCCCAAGCCGAGACAGGGGAAGTCGAGAGGCAGAGGTCGGGTCGAACCACGGACCTTCCGGTCAGTAAATTTGCACTCTAATCACTGAGCCATCTCGATCATTTTTAACCCTAGAGACTGAGCTGACTCTTCTGAAGGTTGCTGTGTCTATTTTGAGTACGGAATTCAGGCTAGAATTACTGTAGGTTGCTTTAATCCTTCGTGTGAGCACTCCATTTTAAGAGTGAATTAGTGCCTGGCCCGTGCTACGCATCTGCATTGAGTGATTCGTTTTGGTGTGAAGCCGTCATATCTAGCTGCGTCCATCTGCTACGATTATGACTGCTCTCTCGCATTCCAGATTGAGGTTCTCCGTGGATGCACCGTGAATCAAACTAAAACCCTTCTAGAGGCTTAGTCTCCACACCGCCAGCGTTATCTGAAAATCACATGCAGTGATTTCTCTTAGGAGAAAAATCCTCTAACCAAGAACTGTTTCACTGTCAATCACCATTACGTTGCAAACCGTATGAGATTTCAGACGAACTCTTCATGGATTCTTGGTCTACTGCGGCAACTGAAGCATTCAAAACCTCTGGGGTTGTCACTAAAAGCGTTTTCGGATTGATTATTCTATCGAGATTGTCTGACTGTCGGAGGTACAAGCATCTCGGATGCATATAGTAGGCCAGCCCTAGATCCTCATTTCTTTTTTTCCATTATAAGGCTGTGTTGAAATAAACTGATATGTTTGTTGGGCAGTGAAGCACCTGGCGTTGCTTTCCACGATGATAGTCTGTGGAGTCACCAGTGTTGCCAAATGTGATAGTGATCGCCTGGACTTTAGGCACTACGCCCTCTTTCCGAATCCTTTTTATCGGCCTAGCTATTCCAGACAATCGAAAGTGTTGCAAGGCAATAAGGGGTTCCCCCTTGAGAATGACCGATCGACCAAACGGTAATGGAATGGTAATGAGCGCCCTCTGCTTATTTCTGGAACGTAACAGCACAGTAGCCGCTCTCCAATATTCGTGTGATTAGCAAAATTCTAGTGTTTAAGCTAAAAGGATGTTATGTATGGCGAGAACAGTGTAAGCTAATGTCAAGTATGAAAATGACTGCCGCGACCCGGGATCGAACCGGGGACATTTAGATCTTCAGTCTAACGCTCTCCCTGCTGAGCTATCACGGCCGACTGGAACCCCACAGTTTACGGTCATATCTTGTGTGCAGCAGACTGTTCATTTGTTGCCTTCACTGTCGGTCGTGACTAATCTTCACTTTGCCCAATGCGCTTGTCGAGCGTTTGCTCGAGATATTCACATATATACTCCTTGTCTTGTCGCAGCTCTTCAGGCCGATCCACTACATAGACAACAGGGCGAGAAAGATGCATATCTACTGTAAGGAGCAATCGATCGTCCTTCACAGATGCGATAAAAATCACTGTCCATTGGCGGTGACGCGTATGATCCCGTATGGGTGGATTTACCGGACAATACGGTTTACTCTCTGCTTGAGGTTTTATCTCTTACCGCTGATGAGCTATTTTTCACCGTGAACTCGCCGCTGGATTTGATGTAGACATCTCTTCGATGCTTCTCAAACTCGGTTAATATTTCAGTTTATTACGGCTGGGTCATTTGGTAGGAGTTGACTCTAGGTGACTACTGCTCCTCATACAGGGCGATCAACGACAAGGTATGCGCCCACTTCGACCCAGTCTCGTGAATAGTTTGAAACTGCTTGTCTTGGCAGCGTTAGCCTTACAGTAAACCATAACAGCGCAATGGTTCGTACATTAAAGTGCGGACCGGATAATGTCAAAGCTGTCGCCTTAAACGACGAAGTTGAGATCCGATATCCTTAGGTTATGGCTCGGAGATGTTCCCCAAGAATTCACGCTACCATTCAATTAATAGTGGTTAAAAAGGAATGGGGGTAACGGGCATTTCGGCCGTGCAGCGTGCCTCCATTGAAGTCGTCAGATAGAGTAGCACGACTACACCATGCGTTCTAGCTACAGATGATGTCTCATCGTTCAGCATCATAACACACAACGCACCGTGTTCAGCTAAATCGAAGTGTACGCTGTTATCTGTTAGAACGTAATCGATGGTCCAGTGTTCGTTGCAAGGTGAACAGACGATCAACACTGCCTCTATAAGAACATGACCCTTCCTCATTATGATGGTTACTCGAATGCCCTTCCGCTCACAAGGATCGATGTGAATATATAGAACCTGAACACTTAAGTGGTTAAGCAATTGGTTGTGCTCCACCATTGAGGCAATTTTTTTTACCAAGGTCCGGGGTAGTCTCACCTCTTGAATCTCTTGAAGGGTGCGATCCACAGTATTTCGCTTCAACGCTGTGAACGGAGTGGAACGATTTACCAAAATCGCTAGCTTTGGCAGCATTTTCCATCCCCATCTCCTGACGTCTGGTAACTTTCCAAGTACAGAAAGGTTTGTCATGCTTCTTCATATCCAGTTACTGCTACATCATGTAATGGTTAAGGTAGCCAATCGTATAGTAGTTTTTTATCTGAACCACTGCGTGTCCACTGATTCAAAGCAGTTTCCTGATCCAGCGTCATTATCCATCAATTGAGCTTGGTGTGGCGTCTACCCATTATGTGTTTTCAGGCAAACGAATGTCAAAACACTTCGGATGCGTTGTTAGGTGGCACTTGAAAGTCACTTACTTAATATGCCATTCCAGTTGTTTGTTCACTGAGTTTTGGTTCTTGATTCAACCACTCACGAGAGGCCGCAAAAATGACTAATGTTGCACACCGGAAATCCCGTTACTGCGTCACGTGTGTTTAGATGGCTTTACTGAATGTTTGCCACCCTCTACAAATAAAGCTGAATTCTCCCCATTTCATCATTTGACCCGACAGGGACAACTCGTCGAAACGTCTGCTGCAACAAAGCGTGAACGAGCTGATCACACAAAGCGGCTAGAAGAATATCGTTTGGAAATCCAGCGTTTACGTGATGAACTGCAACAACTTTTGGACGCTAGACTATCTACTCGCGAGCTAACACCTACTAAACGGCGTCTTCGACCTTCAATGTCACAACCGGTACGTCGTGTTTATTTGCTCAATGGACCCTTTTTAGAGATGTCATCCACTAATCAGCAATAACTGCTCACACTTCTTTGCTCTACTGACGTCATCTCTCCAGTAACAATGCTTTTATCCTTCACGCAGAATATTGTCAGCATGCTTTCTCGGCAATGGGAGAAGCGAGTAGCAGAACAAGAGGCCGCGAAACTTTCGAGTACCAGGAAGGTTGGACACCGCCAGGCAATTTCAAATAACACATTGAGCCATCGTGTTGCGGCCTTCAACCCGCGCCATCGTCGATCGCGGTCTGCAGGTGGCGATGGCGGTGTTTGGCTGGAGCATCAGGAGTCAACTGCTGCACCCTTGGGGACCATTTTTACACCTCGACTTAAGAATCGCAAATCTGTGACACAGTTAGAGCTGAAGGACACACTGAAAGCCTCAAATTATCTCTTGCATCATCAAGAAGCGACGTCTGATGGCAACATAGAGACAAAACTGTACAAGGTAAGTCCCATTCGGAGGTATTGTGTATGATCCTAGCTGTGGGTTGCTGATCTGGTGCGGTTTAGAGGACAGGGTTTGCTAACAGTTAGCTAGCCCATACACCACTGACTCGCAGTCAATGGCCGGCATAATGCCGTGGTTGCCAGTTGTAATCCTTCATTCAATGACCGAAGTGCTCACAGAGTTCCGACAGAGTTATGTTTTCTATTCTGCAATTTAACTTCCCTTATTTGGACGCTAGCTAGAGGCACTGCTTTGCAGATAGAGGTTACCTGCCGCGGATTTTGTTAAGTTGTGTATCGGTCATACGAAAACTCATTTGAATCGACCAATTGTTCTTCAGACCTTTTGTCCAGACTGATGGACCTTGCAGCCAGACTGCTATGCGACTGTAGCCAGCTGTAATTAAATTTAGGGGTATTTTACCACATCGACCCGGTAACCGACTTTCTGCGATTTCGGTGCAGTAGCGACAGTCTATCACGTTAATGGCTACCAATAGATGAGCTCAATTAAGTGGAACAAACAGCTATTCATTATTTACCAACTAACCCCTACTGTCTGACACAAAGTCTGCTGAACATCTCTTGCGGTGGGTTGAGTTTGGCTACCAGAAACTCCTATTAATTCTTGTCACGTATAGCAAGTCTTATCACCGTATAGAAGAAGGCACTTTAACCTCTGCTGGACTGACACTGTTCCCTTTTGCAATTCTTTTGAAATATTCTCATTTTCAGCGACACTGTTGTTCCACCATTTTCATCAATATGGTGTGTTACATTTTTGAAGTGCATGCCATTGAATTTGAGACCACCGGGACCCCAAACAGTTTTCTAGTACCGTTGAGTTGTTGCAGTTCCTCTGAAAATTCTGAATGAGCACGTATGCATTAGCCAACACTTCGTTAGTTTTGGTCTGCGTTTTAGTTGGGATGCTAAAATCTCTGCGTACTTGTTAGTAGTCTGGAAAGTAACCGAAATTGTAAGAGAACCAAATGGAGGCCGACTACCTACGAATCGAAAAATGCATCGTTTCTTTCGAATTTCAAGTTGAAATAGTATTAGTAGACAAAGGACATCCAAAGCGCCCTAGCATTTTGTATGAATTCATCCGGTTTAGGTTGGCTCAAACAATGGCAATATATAGGAAAAGAGCGCATTGCCAATCAACACTGGCGCAAAATCGCGTTGTCGGTAAATTGACATGTAACTGAAACTTAGGCCTTCTTTGTTGCTTTGTTTCGTTTTCTAGCTTCACTACCCTCAGTCAGTATTCTAAGGTGTTCCAGTTTTCAGCATGCCAGACTACCGATTAGACCAAAGCACCAGATAATGAGAAGCCCACCGGAACAGTGCGGCTGTAGTTTTAGTGGGATTGCCCATTTCGGTGTTCTGCCACTTCGAGACCTAGGACGTGACGGGCGGTTGCTTTGCGAACTAAAGCCCAATCGACCGCGGCCTCAAATTGCACTCGCTGGCTTTTAGGTTTGTTGCCACTGGGTTGACCGACAGAGGCAACTACAGAAACTGAGTGCTGACTGTTTAGGGTGGCCGTCAATTTGGAGCTGAAGTCAACGCAAGACAGTTCCATACTTCGTTTGGCGGATGGCAGGCCGTGTTCGGTCAAGTCTGGTACTCCATAATAGGGATAGCTCCAGTAATCCTGTCAAAAACACTTCTGGGGGATGACGTCTTTATTTAGGGGTTCAAGCATATTCCTAGTTTTTTGTTCGTATAGAATCAAGTGGCTAATTTTCGAGGGAGTACTATGCATCTATTTTCTTTTGAAGCCAGTCTCTCCTAGCTCACTCTAAAATATACTCCTATCACAGTCTCAAATGAACGTTAGGTACACCTTGGGCTCAAACGACGCATTGTTTCGCGGAAAATCATCACTTCAACTAAATACCACGGTATCTGTCTCGGTCTTAAAATCCGTCTGTGCTTTGTCTCTCGACGTCTCACCTGTCTTTAAGCTGTTTGCTTGTTCCTCTCGGGATTTCGCTATCATTTCACGAAAACTATTTACCCTTTTATTGTCAGCCTTATATTCCTTGATATACCAGAATTGGTACATTGATCAATTGTCGTCCACCTTGTTGTAGAACGGAATCAAACGGTGGGAGCACTGACTTTTGCTTCACCGTTGTGTACCCTGATGGCTTGTAGTCTAGATTTTTTCTTAGCACTTTCGAACGTTTGACTTATCAAAATAATTGAGTTGTGTTTATGGCAGACACAAAACTTACCTGATAACCATTCTGCAAGCGAAGCTTTCAGCTTGCGTCTTCATCCAGTCATGAGGAATTTGACTATAATCAGCTGTTTAGAAGAGGGTGGTGTCTATCAGTCGTGAGTGATATTGGTGACAGAATAATTTGCTGTGCGTTCATCTGCGACTCAAAAGTGCGCCTGCGGTCATTCAACATATTCGCATCATGTTGCGCTTGAATCTCACAATGTTATCCGTTTTCACCCATCCCCACTTATCCTTGACAGGGGATAATTTGCAGGTGCAGACAAGTGTGTTTTTTAGTCTATGATAACCACAGAGGAAAGCTTTTAATGTTGGTCAGTTGGCTGCCATGGGCATTGTTGGTACTGGTATTGATGTTGAGTTATCCAACTGTTGGGTGGTTCATGGTGGGACGTTCGACCTGAGACACCTAAGTTCTTTATGCATAAATCTTCAGAAAACAAGGGAAATCTGTTACATCTCAGGAAGTACACACATTTGCAAACTAACTTGTTCTCAACGGGGACTCAACCGAATCCCAGTTGAACCTCTGGTTTCCAGGTGAGATTCAGTTTAGGCTCCCGCTAGAAGTAAATTAGTTTGTGAATGAGTGTTTTCTGTAGATTGCACACAATATTGGGACTGTGTTTGCGTGATTAACCGTGAGAAGGGCGAGGCCGGTCGTGGGCTGTCAAGGAGACCCCAGCCAACTTATAAGTAGTGTGTCCCGTTTTCTGCAGCTTTGTTACTCTCAAATAACTTTGTAACTTCTGTGTTTGTGGCTTACATTATTACATCAACTGTGCAATGTCTCATGAGGTTTTCTCAGCCGAACTGAACGATCTGCGAGTTACTTTTTTGGGATGGGAAATAGTCTTTTCTCGTCATGCGGTCAGTTAGGAATCTGGGCTGGTGGTGTAACCACGGTCAACTAGCGCTTCACCAGTACTTCCTCAGCACTGACCACAACAGCCTGGCTAATCCCTTCCCCAAGTTACCGGTGATGACTTACTGCACCACGATTGCTCAGTTTTACCATCGATCTCATCAGTCAGTGTCAAATTATATAGTGGAGGAAACCAGTCGGGCTGAATTTATTTTTCAAGCACTCTAGCTTCTCGTAACTCAAAAGAATCAATTGATGTGTGAGAGTATTGTTTGCTTTTCCTGTGTTTCGGAGGAAAATGATCCTTCTTGGGCAATAGTAGGACAAAGATTATCGAATTTCCTAGTTCCGTTTGAGAACTTTGATGTTTTGCCCATCAATCTATTATTGAGGTTTACAAGGCCGAGGCAGGTGGGTGAGTTACGTCCAAAAATTGAATTGGGAACCGCTGTTTTTTGCCTTTTCGGTACAACGCAGTGTGTTTCTGATTCGTCTGGTTTACTAGAACTCAAGGGCATGTATTGAACATATCCAGAGATTGCTCACTTTACTACGTCATATCTACCAATCCCATTCTAAAGACGCGAAAACCTAACTGCCATACAACAAGATCGATCAAGATGGAGCCCTGTAACGAGAAGTAATGACACTATATCCCACAGAAACTTCCCTATTTCTCCTAAGAGAATACCGAAGAAAATTCCGTGGACCAACTCGTTTGCTTGAAGTAGATGGTTCCTCCTTGGGTGAGCGATTCTACCAAAACCTTCGCAAACGAATACATCCCGTTGTCTGAAGAGTAAATCCGAAAAGTGTTGAGACAGCTTGCAGGCTGCGCTTGATACCATAATTTCTTGTAGAGACCGACTGGATGTATTGCTGTCGGTTTCGGACGCAAACTTTCAAAATATTCTTGTTCTGACCACGGCACCAGTCGAGTTTATTTCTTTTTTTCTATTCAGTGTTTGTATGCAATATGGTTCCAGTTGGACCACTGCACTGCCTATTACTGTCTTCTAATGGAATTCCGGTCGTTATTTTCTCCCATATACATCGAATTTCTTCGTTTGTAACTAGCATGGGCGATGTTCACAGACAGGCCAGATTGGGGCATACTTTGGTCGGTGACGTTGCTTATCTTGCGACATGCACTTTCCTCACGCTGTGATCAACATGAGGCACAGAACATTCCCTTAATTTTGTGGCATTACACTGGGCTGATAATGTCTACGCCTCTGGCACTGCCTCGTCTTTTGTCTTAACTGAAAGGAAATGCTATTTGATTTGATTGCTTGAGCAACTTGATTTCAACAATTAACCCATTGAGGTTCACTGGCAGTATCTCAGCTCTTATGCATCCTTGAGGTTGCGTGGCCGCTATGGACCAAAGAGATGCACGATCGTTGTTACATATTTTTGCTGTGACCTGATAACTTCAGGGACTGGTTTCTCATAACATGCACCATATGTGTGTATTCTGGCCAGCCGTTCACCAGGTCACGTTACCGTGCCATAAGGTCAGATCACGTGCGCATGCATTCGCATCCAACAGCATCATTGTGACATGGTCATTCAGTGTTTTGTAACCGGTGTGGACCAGTAGTGAGGCGGTCATTTTGACCGCCTGCGCATTGAGCTGGAAAAGATTCACTGCCGTGTAGTGTACGAACCACTTGACCGGTAAATCGGAAGCAGCATTGATCCAGTTTAGTTATGAAAAGTCATTAAACGACATATGGCAACAATCCGCGAAAAAAGGTTGTGTATGGCGCGATGGTGTGCTCTAAAGTACAAGTACATTGTTTGGAATTGCAGTGTTTCGCGCAGCAAAGTCACAGAAGGCCTTTCGTGAGTTGGTCGTATAAAGCAAACGGTTATATCTCACAGTGCACCGTACATGTGCATATTTCGGCAAATAGAATAGTACGCTATATCGTTTAGCTGTAATACCCTTCCGGTGCCTAGCTGCTATGCCACCCGAAGAAAGCACGAGGGCTGGGATACTGCCAGGTTGCCCAAGCCGAGACAGGGGAAGTCGAGTGGCAGAGGTCGAGTTCGAACCACAAACCATCGGGTCAGTAAGTTTGCACTCTAACCACTTGAGCTATCTCGCCCCATAGTATGCTATAGGATAAAGCTGTTTTCAAATTTTCGGTCAACGCGGCCTTAGTTTCCACTTGAGTGCAAAGTGATTCCGAGATTTGCAGTTTATGAATGTCCACATAAGCTCACTCGATACATCCTTCTTCAATCATTTTCTTTTATACTCCAAAAAGTTCCCTTTTGGGGTAGATTAGGTCACTTTGAGACCGCTTTCATTGTTAGGTCCGAAACCAGAAACTAACTGTTTTTTCTGCCTTTCGGTTTTGTGCTTCTTTCCCCTTTTTGATTGGAGCCTTCATCTGGGGTAAAGTTATTTCTTTCGTAACGAAAATTATTTTGTTTTCATACACTTAAACCTCTTGACCAGTTGTTCCGTCGACCTTGATATCCCTATGACTATCACTGTTGTGGGACCGTTATATCTTGCTCCTCACAGGGATCAATAATCCCCACCGCTGGCGGAGGCTCAGCGGTCATTTTCAATGACGTCGAGGAACTGCGACAAGCCTCACCGCTTTCTGACAAACGGTAAATTACCAACTTTCTCTTTTTACTCTTGACTCTCCCGAATTATCCCCGATTGATTACATCAGAGCGGTTGTTCTCAGCCATCTGCCCTACCCTTTGCATGAGGCCAAGTATGTCCTATGATGAAGAAATTAAAGTCACTGTGGGCATAAACACTACATTCATCAGGGCCGCATTTCAACATTATGAAACCAAATTATTCGTCTGCAGTGTACCTAGAAAAGGTTTTCATAATTTGACTGCCAAACTTCTGGTAGGTCATATTTGAAGGTCGAGTTCTGTGACTTCTTTGCTCGGTGATTCATTGGGAAGTGACTGGATGTGTTTGCTGATACTAGAAATCCAACTGATGTCATTTTTCACCTTTCTTGTGTGGCAGACAAATCTGCCTTCATACACATCCTCAGTAGCTAAATATTCTAGCACCATGGAACCCTTCTCACTAGGGCGAGATTCCTTACTGGCACGCCCCTAACCGTGCTCGATACGCTTCCGTGATTCGCCGTCAGAGTTGTTGGCACAAAGCCAAACCGTGAAATATTCCTTGAACTCTTTTTCATTTTTATGCTCCAGAGTAATACGAAATCAGCATGGCTGCGTTTCCTTGCACATTCACATGTCAGATCTGCCGTCCTTATCATATTCATCACCGATAGCATTATCAGCGTAAAACGCCGGTGGCCATGATAGAGGTGGAGGACTTTTGGGCCTACACTTCCAAACACTCACTTAAACAATCGGAACGGCAAGAAGGCAACTATCAGCTGTTCATAGCCGCAGGCGAGAACCCATGGAACCCAATCCTTGAAAGCGGAGTATATAAAAACATCCGAGATATTCATAGTCTTCTCTCCCTCCCAAGTTGTCCGTTGTCCCACCCTTGGATTGCATGACTGAATTTACCATGAAAAAAAAACAGTTCCAGCATCGATGAATTCAGCTGTGACGACGGGTTGTCTGGCACCGCGTTCTCAAGAGAGGCGAAATTACTCAAATTTCATGATATTGCACATCTCGTCCGGAAAAGTTTTGCCCTTTGAATGTAGATCGCTTCTCGCCTACGTTCATCACGGAGATCCTTTTACCGTATCAGGTGGTTGTATTTATCGTGACAACATTAGTAGACGTTTACCCGCCTCAGGATACCGAAGAAATCAGGTAGTTCTAGTCTCTACCCCGAGAAAAATGGATAGCTGTCATCTCACAAGTCAGTTACTGTTGGTAGATATGACCATGTCGCCATCGCACTTGTATATTTTTGGCCTACGCGTTCGTAGCCTGACAGATTGAATTTCCATAGAATGACTTCATGTTTGTCGAATGAACAACGGGAAATGTTGAATTTTTCCGCTGTTTTAAACATCTAAATGCACCAAGCTCACATTCTAAGGAGCTGTGCGCACTGAGTTAATGACCAGTATACTGGAGACCTGTTGGGAGTATGCGGGGCCAATTGTGCTCTTTTTCAGACTATGGTCTCTCACCTCGCTCGGTGGATTTAATTTTTGGTACTTTACAGGATTTCAATAAAGGAAAACACTGCACCTGCTGAAGCAATGGACGTGATTCAACTGGCTTTAGAAATTAAAGATCGGAAGAGCACAAAACGCCGTCGTTCCTCGTCTGTTCATAGGAGAGCATCCCATTCACCAGTAAGCACCACGAATTCAGAAGATGCGGTGAATTCGAACGGTGGCTCATCTGATTACCGTCCTATCAGCCCCCCTGTTCCGTCTCCAACCTTCCGCATTGGTATAACCTCCTCTGGAGGGATGGGTGTAACTATGGATGCCGTTCCTGCCCACAACCGGCGCAAGTAGGTTTTCATCCGTACCGATATTTTGTGGTCTTCCGCAGTCAGCTTGGTTTCTTATAAAAGGGACAATTAGTATATCGTCCAGAATAGTAAACATTTCCCTTTTTCCTGAATGTCTTAATTTTCCTTTTATTGTGGTGGTATTGAGTTCGCAATTCCGGTTGAGTTTGGCTTTAATTTGGCTTTAATTTGCGAATACGCCCTGTGCATCACCTGCTGTTCTGAAGAAATTACACTAAGTAAGACTGCAGGCCTTTGCTCGCAATTATTCTTGTTGCTGAGTTTGTTTAGTTAAGCCTAACAATGAATCGACCCTTGCTCCTATCAGATAATAGTGTTATCTCCACGACATCCAACTCATCAGACCGTTTTTACACCCTCTTTTCCAGGCGCTCAAGGATTTGAGTACGTCGATCATGACCTGGTTACATGGTGTGCTCATTCATAGTTCATTGATGCTTTCGTCATATCACGCTGCATTTATGTACCTTTTTTATACATGGTCTTCGGTATAAGCGCTTTTTGTAACATGGCTTTCGCTTCATCCCACACTTCGACTGTATTCCTGTTGTGTCCACGATGTTTTCATACGTTATTCTCTCATAAACTATTTTTTCCGCACATTCGGTTTTGTTGTGTTGTCTCGAACCTGTCCGCTGCGTTCAGTTGTTCTCGCACTGTAGTCTACGACAGGGATTTGCAAAACTCGTCTTATCACGGTAACTTATTTTGCACTTGGCTGGCACTGAGTCGGCAACGCCCAATTGTTGTGGTTTCAATCACAATGCTTTGACAATTCCTCAGGTGATAAAATAGCAATTTCTGTATAACCTGGACGAAATGTAATACAGAACGCTCCCGCTTTCCCCCAAACAGCTAAACATTTAACGAAATCTGGATCATTCAGCTGGTGTGATGTCTGCTTTTACGTTCCTTCCTCCGGTTAAATCGACAATAAACATGAGTTTCACTGCACGATAAAAAACAAAAGATACCGAAATCTCCTGAAAGTTTCTCCGTGTTCATTTTTTCTTATCTTACTGGATGACTAGCATACAGCAGCCATTCGAATTTGGCCCAGCGACACGCTTTGTGTGCATTAAGGTAATGGACACATCCTCTGGCCTTGGATTTAGTACGTTAATTATCGCTATCCATTTATCGTCTTGCGCTAAGCATACGCAGGCAAATGGCTGGTCGCCTTACACATCATCATCATCATCATTGTCATTTGTA